TGCTGACGTCTGCAGTGAAGGCTGACGTCTGCAGTGGTTGCTGACGTCTGCAGTGAAGGCTGACGTCTGCAGTGGTTGCTGACGTCTGCAGGTGGTTGCTGACGTCTGCAGTGATGGCTGACGTCTGCAGTGGTTGCTGACGTCTGCAGTGGTTGCTGACGTCTGCAGTGGTTGCTGACGTCTGCAGTGATGGCTGACTGACGTCTGCAGTGGTTGCTGACGTCTGCAGTGAAGGCTGGACGTCTGCAGTGGTTGCTGACGTCTGCAGTGAAGGCTGACGTCTGCAGTGGTTGCTGACGTCTGCAGTGGTTGCTGACGTCTGCAGTGATGGCTGACGTCTGCAGTGGTTGCTGACGTCTGCAGTGGTTGCTGACGTCTGCAGTGGTTGCTGACGTCTGCAGTGGTTGCTGACGTCTGCAGTGAAGGCTGACGTCTGCAGTGGTTGCTGACGTCTGCAGTGGTTGCTGACGTCTGCAGTGAAGGCTGACGTCTGCAGTGGTTGCTGACGTCTGCAGTGGTTGCTGACGTCTGCAGTGGTTGCTGACGTCTGCAGTGGTTGCTGACGTCTGCAGTGATGGCTGACTGACGTCTGCAGTGGTTGCTGACGTCTGCAGTGGTTGCTGACGTCTGCAGTGGTTGCTGACGTCTGCAGTGGTTGCTGACGTCTGCAGTGGTTGCTGACGTCTGCAGTGATGGCTGACTGACGTCTGCAGTGGTTGCTGACGTCTGCAGTGGTTGCTGACGTCTGCAGTGGTTGCTGACGTCTGCAGTGATGGCTGACTGACGTCTGCAGTGGTTGCTGACGTCTGCAGTGGTTGCTGACGTCTGCAGTGGTTGCTGACGTCTGCAGTGGTTGCTGACGTCTGCAGTGATGGCTGACTGACGTCTGCAGTGGTTGCTGACGTCTGCAGTGGTTGCTGACGTCTGCAGTGATGGCTGACGTCTGCAGTGATGGCTGACTGACGTCTGCAGTGGTTGCTGACGTCTGCAGTGGTTGCTGACGTCTGCAGTGATGGCTGACGTCTGCAGTGATGGCTGACGTCTGCAGTGGTTGCTGACAATATACAATGTCATTGTATATTGTTTATTGTACTTGTGTACAATAAATACTACTTTATGTTTGAGCGTGTGTTAAATTACTGTATCTTTTGTGCACATTGGGGTATCATTTCTATCCAAAATACCTTTGGGGTTTCCATGCAGCTCAAGTTTTCCCTTGGGGACAAGGAGGTGCAGTGGCCGCAGGTTATTGTGGCAGAGTTTAGAACAGGTTTCTCCAACCTTTTTCAATCTGAGAGCTACTTTCATACAACAGAAGAGACAGAGAGCTCCTTTTTGCAGTCATAATACAAATCGATGCAATAATTATGACAAAACATGAAAAACGGTGTATAGCCCAATATCTATCCTTATAATAGATTTGTAATGACTTAAAGTGAATCATTCAAGATCATGTGTTAAATTCTAAATCCTTTTGAGAGCTGCTGAAAGGGGCTGGCGAGCTACTGGTGGCTCCCGAGCTACAGGTTGGAGACCCCTGGTTTAGAATATTATAACTATATGACCCCACAACATATAGTTTATCTTGGTCTGGGTTCATAAATAAAATGTACAGACAAAACTGTCAAGCAAAGCACCGCAACATAAGGGTTTACTGTATGGGAATATGGGAAGGTACAAACTGTTATCAAACCAAATACAAAGTAGATTTCTAGAGCGTACTGAATGCTATGGATTACGTGCGGAAGTAAACTTTAAATCACAGAAAATTAAGACCACTTTGAAAAGTTTTAGCCTGACAGATAAGGGCGTACAACTGTGGAACCAATTAGAGACGGAGATGAAGCATTTTCCAAACATTAACTTGTTCAAGTATAAATACAAACAAAATATGTTTGAAAAATATAGAGAAATATTGAGTCACCACTAGGGGGTGTAGTGCAATCAATTAATAGCTTATTGCTCAAGTTTGAGCGTTGCTGCTTGGAACAGAAGTAATTTCTATTGTTCAAATGACAGTAAGGAGAATCAGGGCGAGCTCTGCATCTGTTGAGAGGTACCTCCTCCCAAGGGATCACACATCTTTTAATGCATCACACAGTATAGAAAGATAAGAACATTTAAAGTCTCATTTATAAAAGCAGCTGATAGGGCAGCTGGTTGGGGTCTGTTGGTGAGGAGTCACTGCCGTCTCCAACTGGATTTACACCCTGGCTTTTTATTGCACTACACTACATAGGGTTACTGCCCAAATACTCTGCTTTCTAGCGGCAACATCTCTTTTTTGAGCGAAATGTGTTTAATCAGTTATCAGTTACTTGTTGCTAGTATATCTAAAATAATTATGTGGTGATATTGTGTCTCTTGCTTTGTGGAGATCTGTCTTAACCAGACTGTTCTTGTGTCTCACTCTAGTAATAAGAATAAGAAGAACAGCTCAAATTAGTGTTACTGAAACTGCCTTGAAACATAAAATTTAAAATCTATTTTGTCCTTTTGTCAGTGAGGCTCTGGTCTCTCTCTGGTCCATGAAGTCAAAGTCAATGTCACGACATATCCTTTACTCTGTAAATTGATTGTTGATTATTCTATAATTCAGACTGTGCAGATGTAGCTCTTTTGTGTGCCTTGTCCTGTACTATTTTCATTATAATATGTCAAGTTTGATTGTAATTGACTGTGGGGGTGCGGTGCTAATAAGCTTTTTGTTTCAACCCACTCCTTTTGTCCAGTATTAAATAAATAAACAAATAAATAAATAAATAAATTCAGACAGGTTAGCATTTCGGTTTGCTCTTCAAGACCTGTGACAAGCAGTTCGTACTTTTTATTCCACTCTAATCTATATCATTCAGAAACAGGCCCCATTCTGTGGAGGTCTGCTGCCTCAGCAGCATCGGCTCCCCCGGTGGTTTGAAATTGATAGGGCTGAGGGCCCCTGTCTGCCTCCTCTCTCTCAACCTCCGGTGAGGACGGTGGAGAGAAGTCCTCCACCTCCTAAGACCGCACAGAATCTATAGAGCTGGCGTCGCTGTGATCACTCTCCATCTTTCACACGGCCAATGCTGATGTCAAGTGTTCACCCCGCCGCCAGTGCCCTTTAGTCCTCCAGGCTACGCCCATTTGGAGGGAGATTTGAAAAGAGAATGTGAGTGACGTAAGCCTTGAGGAGCGGGGGTGAGAAGTCCTTTAAGGCTGTAAAACCCCTTGCCAATCAGAGACAGAAACCAGAGAGAGATGTCAGAGATAAAGTCCAGAGAGAGACCACAGAGAGAAACCAGAGTGAGACCAGAGCAGACTGAGATGAGGCAGGAAGTGTGATCTCACCTTGGCTCTCCGAAGCAGGCGCACCACGCTGATGCCCGTGGAGGCCAGCTCTCGACTGGGCATGCTCTGAAGGTATGCACACACACACACCTCACACAGGTGCTGCAGACGCTTCACCTGGTACATCTCAGCACAGACCAGGACCGCCATGGCCTGGAGGACTGAGGCTGAAGACCAGAAAAAGAGAGAGGTTAGACCATCTGAGCAGGGACAGGGACCACCATGGCCTGGAGTACTGAGGCAGAAGACCAGCTCAGAGGAAAAGGGGCTGAATACTTTTGCAAGGCACTGTACATTATTGACCGGCAGGAGCAGTAACTCATCAGGGCAGAAGGGGGTGCAGTAGCTAACCTGGAAAGCAGGAGGTGCTGTACCTCACCTGGACAGCAGGAATCCGTGTAGAGGTACTCGAGGAAGGAAAGGAAGGTGTCGGAGGAGACTCCGTGGATCGGCACCACGCGGCTTCGAGCTTCGGCGTATTTCCCACTAAACATGGCCGCCATGACATCGCAGCGAGCCACCAGCACAGCCCTGTGAGCGGGGAGGACGCTGCCTACAGAAGGCGCGAGAAAGTAGTTTTACATTAGTACTGAAGTTGTATTGCAGTGGTATTGTAGTAGTGGTGTAATAGTATTGTAGTAGTACTACAATACTCCCATGCTCTTCCACCTGTACAATAACCACTGCACCTCCAACCATGACTCTGTGAAGCTGATCGAGTCTGCTAAGGGAGGAGGCCGGCAGGTGTCCAGGAACAGTGGTAACGACTTGGAGCTGAAGACCTAGCAGACCTTCGGGCCCCGCTGACCCCTCTCATATATTTGGGGTGTATATTCCAAGTACGTAAGAGCCAACGCGGGATTTATGAACGTGTGAGATCCGCCCAGATCTGAGCGTACACAGCTGCGGCTGTTCATAAATGCAGCGGTGTAAAAGCGGTGTAAAAGCTAGCGTATTTATGAAAGTCACGCCCATAAATATTCAGAAACCGCTCGTTTCACGCCCCGTTTTTTCAACAGGTCAGCATGGAGGTCGGCCTAAAAGACTGTTGGAAGCCTCAAAAAGCCTTTGCGTTTGAGTTTATTCACATTTGTTTAAAAATAAATATACACTATTCTATATATATAAGCATTTTTTCCCTATTGTCTAGACCCACTGCAGCACTCATCTTTCTTCAACTTTAGAAGTAAATAGATTAATAATGAATGAATGAAGGAATGAATGTTAATATCTCAGCTTCAGCAGTGGCTCTCATCATTAACCGGGTGAAGCGTCTGAGCGAGAGAGAAAGATACGTATGACCCAGGGACGTGCGGTGAGGTTTGTGATTGGGGAGGCACTGACTTTAAAAGTCAGATTTACAATCATTATTCAAATAAAATAGCATTTAATCACCAATGCAATGACATCCACAAACTTTATATACTGTAAAGATAAGAGAACCAGCTTCTTTTAATAATCTCACAACAAATCTAGCTGCTGACTCTGC